GCACTGAAATGGGTGAGACAGAAGAGGAAGGTGGCTCTTAAAGAGACAGGCCAATTTCAAGGCATTTAGAACAGGAAGTGATGAGAAGATAAGTTTATTTTCTATTTAAACATAAAAACAGCATTTTAATAACAGCTGAAGGTGACATAGATAGTTTATTATGGTGTAGTATTTAAATACATGCCTGAGAAACACATCATATTGCCCCTTTAATGAATGCACTTCCTGATGCAACCTGAGTTTGACCCTGCCACCTCAGGATTATGTGACCACAGCACCCTTAATACATTAAATTTTGTATGAATGTAAAAATGTCAGTGCAAAGCTGTAGATCACTTGATCCTAACTGGTCTTTAGGAACCAGAACTCTTAATGGTTGGTAGGGGATCAAATACGTATTTTTCTCTGCAAAATGCAAATACATTTCTATAATTTATACAATGTAATTTTTTGGATTTGTTTAATATTCTGTCTCTCATTGATAAAATTAACCTCCCCCTAAAATTATAGACTGTTCATGTCTTTGAAAGTAAGCTAACTTACAAAATCAGCAAGGGATGATGCTCATATACATGAGAACAAAGGCTTAATCCCACATTCCCTCCCCCGTATCATCCGTGGGTGGACCAGTCCGAAGGCCGCGGTGGTGGTGACAGAGGACTGAACTCTGGTGAATTGAGCTTGGGTTGATATCAACTGGTTTTGGACTCTGGGGGTCTTGGATTGGTTCCAGCACAGAGTATTAACCTGAAAAGTCACCGGCTCCACTGCATCCCACCACGTACCATGTGTTTAATCCTGTGGAATAAGGAAATTATATAGAACATGAGAGTGAATTGTTTTCTTCTATACACTTTTATTTGTTAGAAGTTTACCTATAGTTTGCTTTGCAGTATTTAAACAAGGTATTCAGTTATCATTGTCACTTGGCCACATTTGTTTTGTCATTATTCAGTAAGTGAACACTGTTTTTTTATTACTATGACAGTTAAAGCAAACCCTGGTGGAGCCATAAGGTGCTCTCACTCTAGAGATATCTAACAGTGTGAGATCACTGTTTTTGCAGTAAATCACCTTGAGACGGTGTGTCTCATCGGTGCATGCTGTCAATGTAAGGTAACTGGAATCCTGGGGGAGAGCAGCATTCTGGTTTTTCTACTCAGACCCAAGTTCTGAGACCCCAGACGGTGTTAGGTGCAGCTTCACACATCTTCTCTGTGGCCAGGTGATGTGTTTATGACTTCAATTGCTTATGCCGTCTCTGAGAGCTCTCTTATTGCTGTTAAACTGTCCTTCTTTGTGTGGTGTGTAATAAATATGCATTTAATTCTGATACTGACTGCCAGCACTGTTTTGTGTGGAGGGAGATCCAGGACAAAGGAGTAAGCCCAGAGGGACTCCTCGACAATCCCCAGCCTGTTATGTTGCGGGTCAAATTGACCTGTTTTAAAGTTTAAAAAAAATTAAAAAATAGTTTGAAGTATTTTTCTGCATGAAACTTTTTCTATTTGTCTCAATAGGTATAATTTTTACATAAAATGAAAATGGTTCATTTTACATTTTTGCAGCCCCCCATCTACATATTACATCGATAGTGTTCGGGTCAATTTGACCCAGCAGCCAAAATGAAGGGTAAAAATGGTCAAAAGTGTCCAATACTATTTGTTTCTTTGCATCTGTGAGACATATTCCACCTCAAACACAAACACACACACACACACACACACATGCACGCACACAAGTTTTATTACTGTATAATAAACAACAGGCTATTATTTGCCAAATTTGTGTTCTTCAGTCCAATCTTTGATCAATCCTATGGACTCTCCCTCCCCTTAATGCTGACATTTTGTTAAAAAGATAGAGATTCTATAGCACACATATAAAAGTGGAGTTGTTGGATCCTCACCATAACAAAGTGCCAGCATGGTTACAGATTCTGACCCTTATCTTGTCTGCAGGTGGCGTGTACCAATTGGAAAAGAGTAATGTTTGTTCTGAATCAGAGTGAACCATATCCTGACCCWGTTTCTGTAGATCCTGGCTCARTTCACCTCCCAGACAAATTTACTTTCCTGAGTTCCTTTTCAAGAACAGAAATAAAGGTCAGTTCTGCCACTTTTTRTAACTTTGACWTAAAAACAAACATAAATTAGATGACAGGTGTGAATKTRTTTGCTCTTCAAGGCAAAACTAAGGCATTACACCAAATTCCTGTTTGTTCGGGACCCATTTGTTCGTCTCATCTCTGCTTACCGAGACAAGTTCCTTCACRACAATTTGTACTTCTATGGGAAGTTTGGTCGGGATATGCTGCGTCGCTATGATAACTTGCCTTATCCACCAAAAACTGTGGAGGAAGCCTTCGAGTTGGGCATTCATCCCTCATTTTACAGCTTCATTCAGTACCTACTGARCCCACAGACAGAGATGAAYGAACCCTTTGAGCCTCACTGGAGGCAGATGTATCGCCTCTGTCACCCCTGTCTCATAAAGTGAGTCCATCTCTGTCTTCTACGATTAAACTGTTGACCAGATTAAAAACATAAGAAAWTTTAAGTTTGTTTTTTTCTTTTCAGGTATGACTTTATTGGCCATCAGGAGACTCTTCAGGATGACGCCAAAGAGTTGCTGAAGATGTTGAAACTGGAGGACGATATTAAGTTTCCTCCTGTTTATGAAAATGTGACGTCTCCTGACTCTGTAAAGAACTGGTTCAGGACTGTGTCCCTGGAGGACAGGAGGGAGCTGTACAAGCTTTATGAGCAAGACTTCAGACTGTTTGGCTACAAAATGCCGAGTGAATTATTGTTGGTTGAAATAAATAGGGACATATCAGGTTCAAAATACAAAATGCAATTGATTTTTTGTTTGGTCACATATTTAATGTGTTGGGTACTTTTACGTGACTTGTTTTGATAATTCCAATTCTAACAGTGTCTTCGGGTAGAATAGCACGCTCTGATAATTTCGAACCTTACCCAGAATATTGCAGAATATACAATAAAAACTTGATCCAATATTAGTTGATATTGTGTACTAGGCCACTAGAACTTTATTTGCTCAAAGGGGATTTCCAGTTCGCAAATTTAACCACACTACAACTGACTGGCATTTTCACTGTAAAGCGCACTGTCGTCTGCGAGTTGTTTTGCCACCCAAAATATGGCGTTTGTCATCTGGAAGTACATCGTTGCTATTACACGTATTTAAAAAACAGAATGGCAACCGTTACAGCGCCATCTGCAGGCCTGGTATAGTTACTACAGAAAATAAAAAATGTTTTACAAAAATAAGTTACCACGTGGACAAGGTCGAAGGATTTTGTCTCTTAAAGCACATGCACTCACATAAGCAGAGATGTTCACCTGCCTTTGTGTGCTGAATTTATTGACAGATTTTGGTCCAACGAAACATTGTTTGCAACAAAGTTTTCCATTTCTTCACATACAAACTGGCAACAGAACATGAGAACTTTTAGTTGTTTTATTATACAACATGACCAAAATAACAAACAAACAATACATTTATGTTCAAATCCACTCAAAAAATGAGGTGAAAGTGGCTTCAAGGTCCATTCTCTGAGACTGAAATCATTTGAGTAATGTCTGACTGTTCTGTCTCAGTAACAACGCTGATCATTGTTCTTGACTCTTTGAGCCTCTTGAGGACGGCTGCAGGAACAGCCCTGTCTTGACCTCCTGAAGGTTTCAGTGACTTGATGATTTTTTTAGACATCTCTCCATATTTAACTCTGGCGAGCAGAGCGGCGCTACTGATGGCGAACCAGTCCTTTGGTGGATAAAACCCAGGTTTGTGACATGAAGCAGGTGGGTCACAGATATGGATTGAGGAGGAAGATGCTGAAACAAAAGTGCACTTTTCCTTTGCAATTCCTTCGGGAAAAGTGAACGAGAGAAAGCGCGACAACAAAATATGGCTTTTCCACGTCTACACATGTAGACTCTTCATCTTTGATTTCTTGTCTTCACAGTTTAGTTGACTGTTTATATTTAGATTTTATATTTACATCCAAAGCCTTTTTAAACCGTGGCTCTCCTGAGTGACTAACAATAAGTGGTCTTATCACACACAGTTATGATTTGTGTCGTGTACGTCTCATCGAACATAAAAAGCTTCTTTTTTAACATGCTTTGACATAAACTTGTCTTGTCATAAATCTCTTAATGCCACATCTCCCAAACTCCGGCGTTTGGCAGTACCTTGGTTTGCACTCATCCCCACTGGTTCTCAGTTCTTTTGGATGCTGCAAAATGTTTTCATATCGAGCTTTCTTCACACTTAGCCAGCGGTGCTGAAGACCTAAACAACGGAAAGTGGTTGTAGTCCTCGAGTCTGTCCAACCCTTCCCCTAACCCATCTTCCAACCCCTTATCTATCTCATCCCCCTCCCCCGACTCCCCCTCCCTGACTTCCGGCCTCACTCCCATCCTCGTCCTTCCGTCCAGTCTGTCTGGTGCTAATATTTCGGAGCTGAGCTTCAAACCGCTGCCACTTATGTTGCAATTATATAGTCCATTGCTGGGGTTACTGTTATTCAGGCTGCTGCTGTAGCTGTTTCCATTGTGACTACCGTTGCCGTGATTACTGAGGAGTGTTGTTGTTGTCGTTGTGGAAGTTGTCCCGTTCCGTTTTTCCGTCATCTTAAACCCCTCGGACATCAGGCTGGCGCTGCTGGGGGACTGGGGCGTGGCCGAGGAGCCCAGTAACTCCCGCCCTTTCTCTGACGAAGCTTTGGGCCGTTGTGCACCTTGATTCCTCTTGTTCACAAAGTAGAAAAGCGTGACACCGATTATGAGGCCCATGAAGAAGGAAATGATGTAGACCGCTAAAACGTGGCGGCCTTTTGTCGGTCCCACCCATCCTTCGGCACTGGGGTCCTCGCGTGTCAGATGGTAGGCTGCTTGACGGCAGGGGGTGGGGTCTCTCACGTTAGGTCCTCCCTCCTGCAGGAGAAAGCGACCAGACATGCAAAAGAAAATACGTTTCTGTTAGGGGTGGGCGATACTAGGAAATTTGGTACCAATCAATCCGATACCAAGTACATACACTGCTAGTATTGCCGATACCGATGCCAAGACTTGTCATGTTCATTGAATAATGTGATTTTGACTTCAGTTAGTTGATTATGATAAAACACAGGGCTAAGATTTTAAATAAAAATGTTTTGTAATAGCAAACTACAACAAATAACAACAACATAGCATTATCAGCAGCGGTGGGCAGCACTAATCTAAAAATCTGTTCCACTAGCCCTAAAACACTAACTCAAATATTTAGGTCTCCTAATTCTAAAGCACTAACTCAAATATTTAGGTCCCCTAATTTGAAAGCACTAACTCAAATATTTAGGTCTCCTAATTCTAAAGCACTAAAGCACTGAAAGTTTTAGCAAAAGCTAATTCTAAAACACTAAAATAACCCAGTCAACCCGTGAACATTGTTCAACAGACAACATGAGTCACATTTTGCCATTTTTATCTCTTAATACTTATCATTGACATTCCACAGCTGTATTTGGGTTCATATATTATCACCTGGTGGATAAGTGACACAGATATGAACAAAATGTGACAGTTTTCACCCTCACCTGTTAACATTAACGTTGATTAATAACATTTATAGTGTTTCTAAATTTAGCCTATAAATTTAGCAAGTGCTAAAATTAAAATAAATTTTAAAATTAGCAAAACCCCTAAAGCACCAATCAGGAAATTTGTTCAACTGTTAGTGCTTTAAGGCAGAGATTCTTAATCTATGGGCCGCGGCCCAATTGTGGGCCGTGAACGTCACCTTGAGGGCCTCAAAAGAACAACAGTTTTTAACTTTGGGCCGCAGAGGGCCGTGGGACCGCATTGATT